ATATTCATGACATGTGTCATGTCATGATTATGTAGGTGTCATGTCATGATTATGAAGGTGTCATGTCAGTCTTATGCACACCCCTTCAAGTAAAGTGTAACCTTATTTTTTGAAACACACTAGCTGCTTATTCAGTTCATTGAACATTTCATTTTAAAGCTATGTATCAAATCTTTTTCATGTATATTGTGGTAAATTATTAAAATCTCATTCATGCCACAAAATGAGCCTTTATTTACTAATGCATCTGTCAGCAGAAGCATTGATGAAGGATAATCTGAGCATCCTCAATAATAATTTCTTGTTCCTTTTGTTTCAGCGTCATGGGATCATATTGATTGGTGTTGTAAGCGTGCTTACAAGCTTATTGTTCCTGTACAACAGCAGTTTTACTGACACACCAGAAGATCAGATGCAGTCAGATGGACATCAGATGGACATTCTACAACAGCAAACATCCCACTTAGAAGGTTACAGCAGCATCATTGATCATAAGGTGACTTGCTTTCATTAGGTGTGTAAAATGCAATCAAGCACTAAAACTATTAATATGGCACTTAGTTTACTAAACTAAATTTAGCAACTAACTGAGATGAAAACCTTAAAAAATATATTTCTTTGAAGCTTCTTTCATGGTTTTCAAATGTATTAATAAACATATTTAGTTTTGACGACTGACTAAACACATCAGTCTTATGAGATCTTCTGTGAAATCGCATAATTGGCTTGTAAGTTATAATTAACGACTTTTGATTTAATTATCAAAATGTTAAAACCCTTTTTTTTGTGAAAGTGGAATGCTCAGCACCTTAGTCTCTTCTTTTCTATATCCCCAGCCCAATCCTAGCTACAAAATGTCTGTTTTTTTTTTTTTTTTGTAAATGTTTCACAGACATCTGGAGATCATAATAAATGTTTACATTAAAATCCATAATCTCACCTCTCAGACTGTATCTGACCAGTCTTGGGTCTCCTATACTGTACCTTTGCAAAAAACCTTAATTGTTTCCAGAATTCAAATTCAAATTATGCTCACACATGCATAAGCCCATTAACTCGACTCGGATGGGTCAAGACAATTGGATAATTTTCCTTATATAACTTAAATATGAAGAATCCTTACATTTTTCATAATACAATTTTTATGCAGTTGCTTTTCTCCTTTGTCATCAAATAATATCCTCAGACAGATTATTATATTGGCACTGGGATCACATGACATGCAGTGCACTATAATATTCAGAAGACTTGGCCATTTCTCTTTATTTCTGTCATCTTTTTCTGTCTCCTGTCTCTCTGCAGTTTTTCATGATAAATCAGGTGCAGGCCTTTAAAGCCGTTTAAATTACACCATCCAAGTGATGCTATAATTTCTTTCTTCACTCCTGATCAGATAAAGTGGCAAGCTGCAAGCAGGTGTTGTCAAGCTTTGGCCTAATCTTGAGGCATTGTAATCACCAGAACTATCAAGGATGTAAATCTATCTGTCTCTCGGTTCTCTCCCTTTCTTCTCTTTCCCTCTTCACCTGTGCTCTATAATGTCACCAGGGATTTGGTTTAAATACTACAACTGTGCAGAAATGCTATTTACTCTGCATGGGTGTTAAAAATTCACATATAGTTATATGTATATAGTGTGCGTAATGAGAGATTACACAGTGATTACTTGCATAAGTATATCAGGTAAACATGGATGATATATTTTGGTCATTAAAGGGCTAGTTCGCCTGAAAATGAAAGCTCTGCATCATTTACTCGCCCCCCCCCCACGTGCTTTCTTTCTTCTGCGGAAGATAAAAGGACATTTTTGATGAATGTTTTCACTGCTCTCCTCTATACAGTGAAAGTGGATGGGGACCAGGGTCTGTCAAGCTCTGAAAAAAAAGCTCCAGAAAGCATCATTATGCACTATATTCCAGGGCTTCTGAAGCCATTCAATAGAATTGTGTCAGAAACAGAAGTACGTAGTGTAAAGCTCTACAGTCATGGTCACCATTCACTTTCATTGTCTGGAAAAGAGCAGCTTGGACATTCTGCTATAAATTACCCTTTTTGTTTCCTACAATATATAGAGAGGGACTATTGTGACATGAGGGTGAATAAATGATAGAACTTGTCTTTTTGGGTGAACTATGCCTTTATTATGGGTATGATGAAATATAAAGCATCTAAATATAAAACATCTAAGAGAGCTGTGTTCTTGTTAGTGATTTAAAAAAAATATTTTTGACATCTTTAGAGTTGAACCTGACAATACCTGTGCTCATCAAAGCAAGAAGTATTCTTCAAAGTCGGTCTCATTGTCATAAGGCATCTGTCATACTTCTCACTGACAGGCACGGCTCTCAAGTCTACCAGTTCTCATTAGTCAAAAGAGCACTCCTATCCGAGCTAATAAGAGCTCCAGGATTCAGAGCCAGATTATAATGGATACTCTGTGGAAGTAATTTTGTAACAGTCAGAAGCGTAAGATTTGCTCGTATTAGTGCAAATGAACAGCCAGTGTGGAAGATCGCTAACTGAACATTGCCTACAATTCTTCATCAAAAATCACATGCATTTTTTAACCATCAGGGGAAGGAAATAGTTTTCCAATTTCACTTCACCCAAAACATTCAGAGGATCTGTCTGATGGGAAAAGCTCATTTTGAATGGTGTGATGCCTATGATCCAGTGTCGACCTACTTTGCAATGTAGTGTATGAATTAAGTCATCTTGAAATATGATTTTTTTTAAATGAAATATTGGTGGATGTTGGATATTTATGAGCTTGTTTTGGATATTTAATTGGCATGCTCATATTACCTTTACCATCATCTAACACTCAATTGCATCTTTAAAAACTATAATAATTTTATATTGTTAAATGTAATCTTTAGGAAATCTCAAAATTAATATTTTTTCATGCTTGACATAATATTGTTGTTTCCAAAATTAAATTTCTATTAAATTGATTATTTTTATATTATAAAATGATTACTTTTTAGATTTTATCTTTAATTTATATAGATAAAGTAGTGTAGAATTTAATATCGACCACCACCGATATTTTCATATAGCTGCATCCTTGCTCATGAAATAATGATGCGAATTGTATGAAACACAATTTAACCTCCATCAGCTTCATACACTCAATCAAATGTTCAAAACTTCTGTACAGGGTGCATGTTTTTCCATAAAGGATAATGGCCTGAATCCATTTTTTCTCAGAAAGGTTCTCAAAAATAGAAAGGGGGATTGCTATTAGAGTAATTATGATCATATGTCCCACTGGAGAGAGCTTAAGAATGAGGATGTTACATCTAACACTCAATTGCATCTTTAAAAACTATAATAATTTTATATTGTTAAATGTAATCTTTAGGAAATCTCAAAATTAATATTTTTTCATGCTTGACATAATATTGTTGTTTCCAAAATTAAATTTCTATTAAATTGATTATTTTTATATTATAAAATGATTACTTTTTAGATTTTATCTTTAATTTATATAGATAAAGTAGTGTAGAATTTAATATCGACCACCACCGATATTTTCATATAGCTGCATCCTTGCTCATGAAATAATGATGCGAATTGTATGAAACACAATTTAACCTCCATCAGCTTCATACACTCAATCAAATGTTCAAAACTTCTGTACAGGGTGCATGTTTTTCCATAAAGGATAATGGCCTGAATCCATTTTTTCTCAGAAAGGTTCTCAAAAATAGAAAGGGGGATTGCTATTAGAGTAATTATGATCATATGTCCCACTGGAGAGAGCTTAAGAATGAGGATGTTAATGAGAGAATAATAAGTGTGGATGGTTATTTACTGGGCCTGATTTGCTTGCATAGGGAAAGGGCAGCTTCACTTGCATTATAAATGAATCATCTTACACAGTGGCAGGTCTGTTGGGCTACTGTGTTGTTTCAGCCCCATTTTGGCCCTTTTGTCTTGAGGTCATGTGTACAAATTAGTAATTTTAGCTCAACTATGAATTGGATTAAGCATTATTTTGCAAAAATAGTGCAATACAATGTTTTTAGAGTACATTTAGTGTGAGGATACACACCTTTCCTGCCCCATGTTTTACAGTTTGAAAATCAGGTGGATTGTTTGTATTGACTGACATATTGATAAAAAAGAGCCTTTTTTTTTTGGTGAATTGAATGCAATCTGGATTCACGTTGAACATGTTATGCTATACTTTAGTTTTTAAGACACTCTGTAGGCTCTAGGCAAATCTTTCCTCTTAAATGAGGGTTCAGAATGCTTTCCCTTAATGCTTTTCTTGTGAATTGGTTCAATGCCTTAGTGTTGATTATGCTGGAGAGATTCAATAATGGAGCTAAAGGTAACAATAAAGGTAAAGGGAGTCTTTGTGGACCAGGCACTTTGATATTTTCTGCCCTTTCAGTGTGTTTCCATGCATTCATTTGGCGGTAATCTCATTCACATTGTTAGATCATGTCTCCACGCCAGAAATATCAAATAATTTTATAATTTATCATTTTTATTTATTATACAATTATAATTCTGACTTTCGGATTAACAAAAGAAAAAATGGCCTCTAACACTAGCTTGCTCTATTCTTTTTCTATTCTATCTGTTTTCTTTTTATTTATTATACGATTTAAAAAAAACTTGCTAAGTGTACTGCATTAAGCTAACTGAGACTTTGCTCTTTTGTTGATTTTGATTGCTTCCATTGTCGTCATTTGTAAGTCGCTTTGGATAAAAGCGTCTGCTAAATGTCTAAATGTAAATGTAAATATCAGATCCAGCCCCGGATGCCAGATCCTGTCAGAAAATACCTGTTTTGAACAACTAGTCACTAGTAGTCAGCAAAATTGTCTAATACCCAAAACCCATTAACAGCAAGTCTTGGTACCCAAAACCAGTGTTTTGTCTGGTACCTAAAACGGTATTAACAGTCTTCTATCAGCCAAGAAGTTGACTGAGCAAAGCCAGTGAAGACACCATGATAGTGATGATGATAAAAAAGGAGCAGAGTTTATGGAATAGTCTTTGTTGAGTATATTTCAATGGTCAGACTTCGTCTGATGAACACCAATCCAACAAATGTTATTATACCACAAGCAATATCACTGGAAAATTACTGCTTCACAACAACATCCCGTGATGTTAAAAACCTTGAAATGAAGCCCTTTAAACCACACATCATAAGACTAAACAACAAAGGAAAAATAATATAAAATAATAATATAATATAAATGACTAATAAATGAACAATTTAATTAAATGAGTATATATGAATGGTTAAAATGATTAATATAAATGATTATATGATTAAATGGAATAATAAAAATGTTCTAATTATAAATGATTATGAATGAATGAATCAATCAATCAATCAATGGAGAATAAGTGAGTATACAAGAAAGGAAGTAAAATGCAACACAACTGTATGGTTGCTCTCTATGTATTTGAGGATTGTTAGATCCTTCATTCCCAAATGAATATCATATGATATTCATCATATGAAACCAT